AAAGATGAACAACATAAGACTAATAAACATCAGTGAGACAGAAGGAGTCAACACAAATGATATAAAAAGAATATGGGCAGAAGTAGTAGCAGAAACCTTCCCAAATATGGGGAAACAATCTGACATTCAGGTAACCAAAGCATATAGAATTCCAAATAATATCTACCCAATTAAAACTACATCCAGGCATATAATAATCAAGATCCCAGAAATTCATCACAAGAACAACGTACTTGGCAGCTGGGGAGATGGCTCAGTGGATAAGTGCTTCCCTGGCAAGTGCAAGGGCCTGAGTTCAATCCCTGGTTCTGCAAAAAAAAAAAAAGAACAACATACTTAAAGCCACTACTGAGCCATCTCCCCCGCCCCTATTTGTTTGTTTTTTGATACAGGGTCTTGCTATACCATTCAGACTTGTAGTGGTCCTCCTGTCTCAGCCTCCTTAGTGCTGGGATTACAGGTGTGTGCCACCATTCCCAGGGTTCTAGAGTTGGCATATCATGCAATACAAAAGATCGAACTTGGGACTTTGCACTTGCAAGGCAGATGCTTATGCTGCTGAGCTGTCTCCCCAGCCTTGTTCCTTTGTTCTTAACCCCCCTTTTTTTTCTTCCTGCCAAGTTGTGCTTATCAGGTGTTTGTGATGTGTCTACCCACTTGTACTTTGGGTTTTGAGGGGGATACTGTGTCACATAGTTTTGTTGTAAGTGTTGTGCATAGAATTTTGGTTTTGCTATCCAGTTGTGTTTTGTGTTTTTATATGTGGAGTTGAAAAGATGAAGACATATATATATTATATATATATATATAATATATATATGTTTATTTATATAGCCACTACTGTCTTCCCAGAAGTCTTACCATTAGTTTCCATGTTCCCTGTCTATGCCCTTCCTGTTTCCTTTTTTCCTTTGTTCAAAGGTAACTATTATTTTAATTCTGTGCTTTTCATTTTTTTCCTTTTTCATGTAGTTTTAGCTTATGTTTATATCTCTAAACAGTATAGCTTTCTAATGAAATCATGTTTTTTGGTGACTTATATTTTATTCAACTTGTTTCTTTGATTCATTCTTATTGTGTTATTGTAATTTATGAACGTTCATCACTGTGTAGTGAAAGAGAATTAATATGTCATAGTAATTCATTTTTCTATTGACAGAGTTGCTTGTAGTTTTCCTTGTCAAACAATATTTCGAAGAAATTTTTAAATTATTTACTAGCATACATGAGTAAGATTTTCTTTTGGCATATACTTAAGAGTATATATTTCTTAAGAAGATGATTCTTAAGATATATTATTTGGATAGTGGCAAATCACTTTATAGGGTGGTTATACTAATTTATATCCCCATTGTTTTATACCCAAACTAAGAACTGGACTTCACCACTAATATATACGTATATATATTTCCATATGTTCGTCTGTCCTTTTATTTCCCACAGGTAACCTTCATCCTAAGGTTTGTGTTTATCTTGCCTTCCAGAAAAATTGCTATTACATATATGAATAAAGAATAGATTTTTAGTTTTATTTGTTTTGGACCCTATTTAATTAATCTTTGTGGAATTGGAAATTAAACCTAGGGTCTTATGCGTAGCACTGAACAACACCTCCAGCTCCATTAGCCCTATTTTCTTTTTCTTTCTGGTACCAGGGATCAAACTCAGGGCCTTGTGCTTGCCAGGGAGGCACTTAGGCCACTGAGCTATATCCCTGGCCCTGGCCCTATTTTCATCTGTCGTTTTTGGGGGCTTATTTTAACTTGACATGTTAGTAAGATTCCTCTGTGTATGTATTTAGCTAGTCATTCCTTTGACATTATTATATAACCCATTGTATTGCTATCTATATTCTTCTTTTGATAAGCATTGTTAAATAGTTTGGTTGTTTTATTAGGCATTATAAGACAACAATGGCAACACTCACTTATGTAGCATTTACTGTCCTAGGCAATTTTTGTAAGTGCTTTGTACCTATTATCTCACAAAAACTTCACATGGACTCTGGTACTATTTATTCTTAGCGAGTAATGGAGCCAAGGTGTGGATGAGTTACCTTGCCCAAAGTATCACAGGTACAGTATTGGGTAGTTGGAGCTGGGTTTCAAAGCTAGGATATCTTGTTCTTTATTTTGTGGCAGTGCAGGTATTTCTTTGGACTCATGAAATAGGGACATTGTCCTTACAGATCCTTAATATGAAAAAAATGATGCTGGCCTAAAGACAGTATACTGTTTTCTTTTTTAAAGTTTTAATATTTACAATGAATTTATAATAGCTGTTTTATTTAAATTTTGTTTGAGAGTTAGAATGTTCATAGTATACTTTACCTGCTTGTAAACAGGGTCATCAGTAGCACCACAGCCTTATAGTATTCACATCTGGCAGTTAGCACCATCTGCTGGCAAAGAGAAACAATAACTTGGTTTTGTCATAATGCATATTTATTGCTTGAAAGACAGTACACGCTTTCATAGGATTTTTTGGAAAAGCAGTTTCTGAGGGAAATGAATATTTTTCATTTTTTGTGTATTGGTTTTTATGTCACATTATGATTTCCTTAAACTTCCAAGTATGTACTATATATTTACATGACTGAGATTATATACTGGTGAGAAAAAAAATGAGGTAGTTTTGCAGGTGTCATTGTGTCTAGTTTTTTTTTTTTTTTTTTTTTTGTATTTAGTACAAGGTCTACAGGGTCTCACTATGTAGATCAGACTCGTAGTGATCCGCCTGTATTCAGCCTCCCAAGAACTAGGATCGTAGGCCTGCGATACCACGTCCAGTCTCAGTCACCATCTCAGCATGCCTCACCAGGGATTGGACCCCAGCTGCTGCACTCTGCCTAAGCAGGCGCTTTAGTCCGCTGAGCTATCTGGCCGGCCGTGTTTTTTTCAAAGCATGTACACAAAGAGCAAACCTGTCATATTTATTCTTTTTTGGCTTAATTAACTGATACATAATATCTTTGATAAAGGAATGGGATTGATAGTATAATGAAAATAGTTCTTGGTGACTGTGATGTATCAGTCACATTCTGTCACTGGGACAAAGTACCCATCATCCACAACTTAATTTGGCTCAGGGTTTTGGGATTCAGGCCAATGTTATGTGGCCCCAAGGTAAAAGCATTATGGTAGGAGGGCATGGCAGGGGAAAGCTAGGAATGAAACTAGGAACGAAAGGGGAAGGAGCTGGGGAGGGAAGTGCACCCTCCAAAGCCATATCCCTGGCAACACATCGCTTTCAACTAGGCCCACTTTTTTTTTTTGGTGGAACTAGGGATTGAACTCAGGCCCTGCACTTGTCAGGGAAGCGCTTATTCCACTGAGCCATCTCCCCGGCCCCTTTAGGCCCACTTTTAACAGCACTTTTAGCTACAAACTCCTTAATGGATCAGGCCTCTGATGAGTATAGCACAGCTATAGTCCATCTAGAGTTGACCTAAGGGAAATTTTCCAGATTTAGATTTAGAGTATCCCTCAAAAGTCTCATGTGTTGGAAGGCAGGGTTTTTGGAAGGTACATGGACTATTCATTTTAAAATATATATTAAAATGAATTACAATATATAATTATAATTTTTGTATTTAAAAATCTATTATTGTCTTCTCATTCTATATCTTTTCTTTTTCCTGGTATACTTTCTTTAGGCAGTTTATAAGTCAAAGGTATCTTATGTGTTGCAAATTTAAATAGGGCAAGATTTTAGTCTTGAGAAGGATGGGTATGGTGATTAACCAAGGAATGTTGGTTGAATGATTCATTAAAAGAATTTCAAAAATCTAATTTGTTACAGAATAGCAGTGGAGAGTTTAGAGAGCCATTGGTCTGATATGTTTGTTTGTGAGTCTGTGAACATAGTAAATAGCTTTCCTTTTGCTCTGTGGCTGACTATTTAGCACACAAATGAAAACAGTGTTTGCTTATTGTTAGCTTATTATGCAAATACTTTAGAACTTCTTGAGTAAATACTGACTGATTCAGAAATAGTGATAATTATAAGTTTCAGATCAGGTGCCCAAATATCATATAATTCAATGTAAAATGTTCAAGATTGTTTTCATGTAGTGTTAGGAATAAAAATGGAGTCATTTGTGGTGTTGGTTTTTGTGATTCCTTTGAGTATTAATTATTTACTAATAATTTTTACTTTTGAGCATTAATTATTGCTAAAGTGAAATCAAATCCTCCTTTCTTCATTGAATCTACGTAGATGTCAAAATATATTTATTAAAACATACGGAAAGTGTATTATTTGTGTATATACTCTTTTCCTTTTAACCATGTTTTGAAACTAGCTTTATATTTAAAGTGAGTAGTGTGTAGAGACTTATACAATAAATGAACATGTAAAAGTTTCAAAAATTATTTTATTACTCAGTTAATTCATTTTTTTGTCAGACTTTTTACCAACTGATTGTTAGACTTATTTTATGTTTTGTGTCTAGATTGTTTGTCAATAAATAATTCATAACTACTTTTCATCATGCTGACTTTCGGGTTAGCAGATAATAAGATGAATGATTTTTGTCATCGGATGTCTATTTTAATTTATGTGAGCATTATAGGTTTTGCTTTATATTATAAAGGAAAGTATATGAAAAAGATATTAGGCATAGAAATGAATTGTTTAGTTGTGCAGAGCCACTATTAATCTGAGCAGAGATGACTAAATAAAACATTACTTCCAAAGCTGTGGGTATAGTGTAGTATTTCTGTGGCACTTTGGAGAATAGGGAGGAATTAGGAGAGGTGAAGAAAAGTGGTGATTAAGGCTCTGAAGCAGTATTTTGGCAAATATTTCATTTTCTATGAATACATTTGAGATTTCTGATTATGAATCATGAAGTGTAGAAAAATTAATGGCTGCCTTTGAAGAGATAATACTTCCTTCATGCAGTGCATTCTATATCACCTCATTAGAAGGAATGTTTGTTCAAGGCATAAAATTGCTTACCACAGTATTTTAAGAGTGGAGGGGAAAGGCAGCATGTTTTCTAGTACATGCTCCTGTTTGTAGTTGAACAGATGCTAAAAACAAATGAGTAAGTTTTAAAAAGCTTCACCAGACAGGTGGTGAATTATTCTAAAGCTAACAACATAATTTAATTGGTTAGAACTAAACTTACTTAACTAAATTGAAGATCTAGGTTTGTATTCTTTCAATTGTATGAAAATTGTTTTTTAAACATAAAATATAAATCTGCTTTCCTTTAAACTGTCAGCTTTCTTTTTCTGTACTACAGTTTACATTATGCACAAAGGGGTGCAGGTAAAGATGTTAGTAGAGGTTGAAATGCAGTTCGTGTTCAGTTACAAAAGGCCTTTTTCACTACTCAATTTCCTGAAAGAAAGCAGCTTTTGATGGTTGTATATTTGCTTAATTTTGTTAGATTCAGCACTTAGCTTCTAGAATATTGTAAATAGAATTTAAGAATCTGCTAATACTTTATACATCTATAGTGTAGTCAGGTATCTAACCTTTACATTCATCATGACATTTTGGTACATGATGTGTACGTTTCATGTTATTAAAAGAGAAATCTACCTCTGCCCACTTCTGCTTTTTTTGCACTCAACGTTTTAAGTTTATAATTTCATTTGGTTATGCTGTATTGTTAGTGCTTACACATTAAATTTTTATTTCTGTCCTGATTCTATTCATATATTAAAATATTTAAATTTTAATTTCAGGTATATTATATTTTTTTGCCCATGTGACCTAGTTTCCCAGGCCTATTCATACCTTCCTGTACAACTCCTGGCTGCTGGAATGAAGGAGGTGACCAGAACTTGGAAAATAGTAGGTGGAGTCACACATGCTAACAGCTATTACAGAAATGGCTGGATAGTCATGATAGCCATTGGATGGGCCCGAGGTAATATTAACAATATGTGTTCATAAATGTTCTGTTATTGATGTTCTGTAACTACTGAATAGTGAAGATTACATACTTTAATCAACCGTTTTTTTGTTGTTGTTGTTTTTTTTTTTTTTTGCAGAACCAGGGATTGAACTCAGGCTCTTGCGCTTGCCAGTGAAGCGCTTATTCCACTAAGCCATCTCCCTGGCCCTCAACTGTTGTTTTGGAAGGGAGAACCTTGGTTTTTGGCTCATAAGGTTAAATCAAACTAGTACTTTTCACTAGACATCACCTGTTATATTGAATATGACTGCCTTTTTGCTTTGTTTTTGTTTCTTGAGACAGCTTATCTCTGTTGTTGAGGTTGGCCTTGAACTCATAGTGATTCTCCTGCTTCAGCTTCCTGTATTGGGATTATAGGCATGCATTACCACTCTGGCTTGCACGTGACTGCCTGGTGGTGTAATATTTTATGACGGGCTTCATTATGAGCCCCTGTAGCAAATGGATTATTTTACCATAGATAATTTTTTTTTTTTTTTGGTAGAACCAGGGATTGAATTTAGGCCCTTGCACTTGCCAGCCAAGTGCTTATTCCACTGAGCCATCTCCCTGGCCCCACCATAGATAAAATTTATGTAAGAAATTACGTGATTCCTGTAAATAACAATCATTACCCTTTTTGTGGGTTTTTTTTTTTTCCTTCTCATATTACTGAGAATAGTAAATATGGTTGAGTATGGATTCATGTTCACTTTGTATCAGTTGTTTCAGTTGCACTGTTGTTTTATGTACAGTAATTGAACAAGTTCCTCTAAGCTCTTGTTAAGTATGCACCAAAAATAAACATATGAGAAAAAGAAATGATAACGTCAAGGTTCTTTTTTTTTTCAGGTTGGAAACAAATCTGTAGCCATTCTCTCTGTGCTTAAGGTTCCAATTTTACTAGTAATAGTGGACAGTTCTGATGCTAGTGAAAGGAAGAGTTGTAGTTGTTTTAGTATCTGAAATGTACAAAGCAGTTTTCTTTTTCCTCTCAAGAATTCTATTTTGAGGGGCTGGGGAGATACTTAGTAGAATAAGCATTTGCCTGGCAAGCTCAAGGGCCTGAGTTCAATATCTAGTTCCACCCAAAAAAAAAAAAAAAGGAATTCTATTTTGAGGGACTGGGAAGATAGTTTGGCAGTCTAAGTGCTTGCCTGCCAAGTACAAGGACCTGGATTTGATCCCCAGTACCACATATTGGCACTGGAACTCTGTGTGTGCCATGCTGGCTACCAAAACTGGGCGCAGTGGAACGTGCCTGTAATACCAATGCTTGGGAGGCTGAGACAGGAGGGTCACTATGAGTCTGAGCTGCATTATAAGACCCTGTACCAAATAAATAAATACTAGATAAAAAAAGTAAAAATGAATTCTATTTTGACACTCCTCTAGAATTCTAAATCAGGTGGTAAAAATATGACTTCTCTGAAATATTTTATTAAAGATAATTGGCTAAATATTCTTTTTTTTTTTTTCTTCCAGGTGCTGGTGGTGCCATTATGACAAAATTTGAGCAGTTGGTAAAAGGAGATTGGAAACCAGGAAGTGATGAATGGCTGAAGATGTCCTAGTATGTTGGTATATATTATACTAGGTCTGGATATTTATCCTTAGATTGTACTAAATTTCTTTTAAAGAGCGTTTTGAGGATTCTAATTGTAAATGAAATGTAACTAAAAATGGCACTGACAGTGGAAGGTTCAGAAAAATATTTTTCCTAAGATTTGTCCTCCCAAAGGAAGTTTTAAAATAAATATTGATTCTCTTCTCTGTGGGGTTTTGCCCTTAGAAAACAAAACCAAGGGGGCCAGCGAGATAGCTCACCAGATTAAAATTCCTGTTTAGGCAAGTGCAGGGACCATGGTTCAATCCTTGGCACCACATGCCTCACCATCCCCACCCTGGGTGCATAGAGCCGGCAACTGAGATTGGCTGTGTTGGTGCACACCTGTAATCCCAGCACTGGGGAGGCTGAAAGCAGGAGGATTGTTATGAACCTGAGCTATATAGTGAGACCATGTAACAACCAAAGACATAAAAAGAAAAAAAAAAAAAGGAAAAAAAGAAAACAAAACCAAATCTCTGTGATGTCATAAAGCTGTGAGAAGGGTATTTATATATGAGAAAGAACTACTTCTCTGGATGGAGATGAATTAGTTACAAGCACTTGGTATGTTCATTAATGACTATAATATCACCCTCATTTCAGATTATATATAGGGGTAGCAGTAAAATGACAAATGTGGGGAAAAATCAATATAATGCTCTGTAAATTGCTTGAAAAATGACAGTTAGGCTTAATGTAAAAATAACAGTAAATAAATAATCCAGTGTGTACTTGTGTGGTGCAAAGTGATATGGAATCTATTTAAGAGAACCTGATCATAAGATATTCTCCAAAGGTACTGAACTAATCTTAAGTCATAGATATATATTTGATGTATCTGAAAATGAAACAGATATAGTTACTGCTCCTAAATTTAGGAAAAAAAGTAAGAATGAGAAAGTTAAAGATGGATTTCATGTGACAATAAACTTATGTTCAAATTAAAAATGAATTAAAAATGAAGGTTGAACAGCAGTATGAATGATAATACACATCTGAGTAAGCCAACAAATTCCACAATACTTAACTTGGAAAATAAACTCTAAAACATCAAAGAAATAGTTTATAAATAAAATGATAGAAGCTTGAATTGATGATGTTATCAATATTTAAGAGAAAGTTTGAATACTTGCCTTGAAACATCTTTTGTACAACCTTTCTTGGGGCTTTTATAACCCAAACCTGATCATGTTCCACCTTTGCTCAAAACCTTGCAATGACCCCCAAGTGTTCTACATGGTTTCCCAAGATCTGCCTATCCACCACTCCAGTTTGCTTTGGTTTCATCTCTTAATAGTATTGTCTGTCTTTATCATTCCATTCTGTTCTTGGGGCCAGCATGGCATGTGGTACTGGGAATGAAACTCAGGACCTTGCACTTGTCAGGCAGGTGCTTAGACCGCTGGGCTTTCTCCCCAGCCCCCTCCACTCTGTTCTTGAAGACCCTGTGTAGTTTGTTTCAGCAATAGCTTTTCTTTCTGCCTGGAATCTTTTTCCCTAAATGGCTACAAGTAGTTTTCTTAGTTTGTTGTCTTTGCTCAAAATAGTTTTCAGCAGTTACCTTCACAATTCAGACTACTCAGCTTATTTCCCTTTCATTTTATTTTTCCAACATGATTTATCACTGTCTGACATGTTTTCTTTTCATTTTGTTTCTTTTCTATCATATTTGTTTGTTTGTTTATTTCCTTTTTCAGTATATTGTGTTCTATGGTGTAATCACATTTTGTTCATCTGTTGATGGCTATTTAGGGTGATTGTTGATTCTAGCTATTTAAAGTTGCTTTGAACATTTGTATGCAATTCATTGTGTAAATGTATGTTTTCATTTTATTTGTATAAATATGTTGTGGAATGGAATGTCTGGGTTATGTAGTAGTTGTATTTTTAACTCTTTGAAAAGTACTGAGCAGTTTCCCAAATTATCTTTTTTTTCCCTGTGCAAAGTGTCTTAAGAGTTCTAGTGTTCTATATTATTGCCAAAGCTTGGTATGGTTAGGGTTTTTAAAGGCTAACACAAATTCTAATAGGTATATTTCTCATTATGGTTTAAATAGCATTTTCCTTTGGACTAAAGAGGTTTTTTTATGTGCTTATTTGGCATTTGCATATTTACTTAATGAGTATCCCTGTATCTTTGTCTATTATTATTGTTTGAGTGTACGATTTACAGAGTTGTAATAATTCTTTGTATATTCTGGATACCATTTCTTTATTGGGTGTGTTCTTTGGGAAAAGCATAACAACAATTTTTAAAGTACTTTTGCATTCTGTGACATCTTTGCGTATCTCTTGAGTTGCAAAACTGTTCCTCATAGGAACAAGAAGTTCCTCAAGAAGTCTTTTTAATTTAGCTTTCACAGTTAAGCTTACTATTTCAAGTTTTTCTTAGAAGTAGTATTATGTAGGGTTTGATTTTTATTTTTCTGTTACATGCCCATTTGTTACAGTACCATTTCTTGGAAAGTCCTTGCTTTGCCCATTGTATTGACTTGTTATGTTTTTTGTACCTTTAACTTCTGATGAGGGTCAGAAGGAAGTGAGAAGATACTAGACAAAGCCTAAGTGGCTGTAGAGAATATACAGTGTCATAAATAGAATATTATAGAAATATACATTAAAGGTACTGGTGAGATTCTCAGAAGGAAATGAGAAACGTCACACTGTACACTTCATGCTGGAGCTGGTTATTATTTTATTTGAGCCAGTTGGATGCACTGCGTCTCCATTCTGTGCAGTAGCCTGAAACTGGCAATGATGTGAATATTTGCATCATGAAAAGGGGCAGATACTACAAATATGGGCATTTTCCCTTTCTCTTTCACCTGAGATCTTGTTTAGCCCTGAAAGTTTTAAAAGACTAATTCTAAATCATACCATGCAATGTAAGACTTTGAAGTCTGTTTTTGTAAAAAAGTACTTTATTGCCAAATATGTTTGCATATTTGAATTATAGAAGCATATTCACTTAAATATTTCTGTTAGTATATATTTGAATATATGTATTTACACTTATCATATGGGATAGGTACATATACTTAGCATACTTAGTTTTTTAATTTTTTCCCATAATTTTATTGATAAACAAATAGCCATGAGACAGTTTCAAATCAAATTGGTAGGACAGTTTCAATAATTAACACATTACATACATTCCTCCCAGTGGTTAATTGCTGTACAAGATGCGGACATGATATCCTATCTACAAACATCATTAGAACAAATCACTCTATTCATTAAAAGAATGTAACTATATATCTATCCTAACCACTTTGAATACACAGATACAAAATGGACATTAATCTGTATATCCTTTTTTTGTTAAGTTCCGTTATTTGAATATTATAGGTGTGTTAACTTAGCAAAATAATCTAAAAGAGTTCAGTAGTGCATAATAGTATTGGGTCTTCTGCTTGACTGGCAGTGTCAGAAATTGTTGACCTGAGTCCCCCACAGCTCAACATAACAGCATGGCTTTACTTCTATTTCGTTTTCATACTTTTCTGCTGGGTGTTTAAGACCAAGGTAAAGCAGGACTGTTGCAACAAGAGTTGTAGCTTTTGGGTCTGATAAGGTCAGTGAAATCCCCTCAGGATTTATCCTGAGATCCTGTACCTCAAATTGTTTGTCAGTGTCAGTCATGTGGATGAGTCACGGCCATTGCTTGGCCAGTGTGCTCTCTGTGAAAGCCTGAGAGAATGTTTTTTCTCCATGTGACTCTCGTTAGGCACACTCTACATCATTGATTACTTTCCTCTTTGGCCCCATAATCTCCTTGATTAGAAAATTTGGGACAGTGCCGAGTTACATGATGTTACAGTACAAGTTCTCATATGTCCTGAGTCTTAATTGACCTTGGAAGGCTAGGGCCAAATGTTGGCTTTCCTTGCAGCCCTCCTTTTCATCCAATTTTGGTCTGCAAACTCAGGTTGTTAACCATCCAGAAGACAAGCATATTGTTATTAACATACAACTTAGGCTGTTAAGCTTAACCTCACTATCTCTTTGCATATCAAACATCTTAGGCATAATGTAGAACAGGTATTTTTCATCAGGTATTGATGTGTTGAACTTTAAGTCCCAACAGAATATGATAAAAAAACATTTAAAAATTAGAATATATTTTAAAAATAGGCATAAAGAATGATATACTTATGTTTATACATAAGTCCAAAAATCTCATCATATACAACCTTGAAGCAGGACAGTCCCACAATATTTCTTTTCCTGGCTTTTGCTGTCATTCACCACCCACTTCCTTTTGAACAACCATCTACCTGAGAGACAGCATAGCAGCAACTGGCATGTCATGACAAGCAGCCCGTATTCAGAAGACCAGAATGACAGGCACTCCAAGCATGAAACTACTATTGCAGATTACCATATGCAGTGCAGTTGCTTAGTTCACAGGTATCAGTATATATAGTTAGTCAGGGTGAGAATCTTTCTAATTAACTGCTGGATTCAAAAATCTTCTGGAAATTCTCAGATCATTGCCTTGCCCATCTTCTACACATAACTGTATGGCTTGACATTTGACATTGTCATGTTTCTTAGCTCTTTTCCTTTCCCTCTCTTGGTTAGTTAGTCCTCGAAATCCTGCTTCCCTTTTGCTTGTATTATACCTATTTGTATTTCTTCTTTTGAGTTCTTATACGAGGGAGACTATGTGATATTTACACATGTGTGTCTGGTTTATTTCACTTATGAGTATATGTTCAAGTGGCATCCACTTCAATATAAAGGCTTTGAGTTTATCATTCTTAATAGCTGAATAATACTCCATTGTGTAAAAATACCACATCTTTTTCAACCATTCCTCAGATGATGGGCATCTTGGTTGTTTCCAAGATTTGGCTATCACAAATTGTGCTGCTTTAAACATAGGCACACATATATCACTATGGTATGATGTTTTCAGATCCTCTGGGAAAATTCCCAGTAGAGGAATAGCTGGTTTAAAGGGGATTTCCAGACCAACTTTTCTAAGGAGTCTCCATATTGATTTCCATAATGGTTGCACCAGTCTAAATTCCCACCAGCAGTGGAGAAGGGTTCCTTTTTCCCCACGGCCTCTCCAACATTTGTTGTTGGGTGATTTCTTTATGATAGCCATTCTTTCTGGGGTGAGATGATATCTCAATGTTGTTTTAATTTGCATTTCACGAATGGCTAGTGATGTGGAACATTTTTTCATATATTCGCTTCTTTAATTTCTTCCTCTGAGAAGTGTGTGTTCATCTTAGATGCCTATTTCTGGATTGGGCCTTTAAATTTTGGGGCCCTAGTGTTTTCTAGTTCTTTATAGATTCTAGAGAGCAGACCTTTGTCTGAGTACTTATTTGTCATGATTTTATCCAAATTTGTGGGTTGCCTTTTCACTTTGTTGGTAATTTCTTTTGATGTGAAAAAACTTCTCAGTAAGAGCAGGTCCCAGTTGTTAATTCTTTCAACTGTTTCCCGTGCGATTTGATTTTTGTTCATGAAGTCTTTGCCTACCCCTATGTCTTCAAGAGTTCCTCCTACTTTCTCTTCCAGATTTAGTGTCTCTGCTTTAATGTTTAGATCTTTAATCCATTTTGACTTTAGTTTCATACTTAGTTTTTATAAATTTCTCTTTCCCTCCCTTCCTTTGCCTTTCTATCTCTAACTCCCCTTTGCATTTGCAGCATGATCTGCTTGCCATTTCCTATTGTCTGTCCTTTTTTTTTTTTTTTGCCGAACTGGGGTTTGAACTCAGGCCCTTGTGCTTGCCAGGGTAGCACCTACTCCACTGAGCCATCTCCTTGGCCCTTTCATTTTGCTTTTAAATTTATACTTAGTTTCTTTTATGAGAGAAGTTTGACAATATTAATCTGTGTGTCTGATTTGGTTCACGTAATATTATGGCCTCAAGGTACATCCATTTTCCTACAGATGACTCAGATTTATCCTTCTTTATGGCAGAGTGGCACTTCATTGTGTGTGAATCGCATTTTCATTATGTGTTCATTTGTTGATTGATATATAAGCTGCTTCCAAGATTTAGCCATTATGAGATGTGCTGCTATAAATGGGAATGTATAGTGGGAATGCATTATGCATGTATCTCTGTGGTATGATGTTTTTATCTCTTCTAGGGAAATACCTAGTGGGTTGAATGAAATTTCTGTTTTTAGTTTTTTTCAGGAATCTCCATTTTGATTTCCATAGAGCTGTATCAACTTATATTCCCACAAACCAGGGATAGAAGAGCCCTTTTCCCACCCCTTGTAGCCTCCTAGCATTTATTATAATTTGATTTTGTGAAGATACGCATTCTTTCTGGAGTAAGATAGAATGTCATTGTTGTTTTAATTTGTGTTTCTTGGATGACAAAGATGTTGAGTATCTTTTCATGTATTTGTATTTCTGAGATGTGTCTGTTCATTTCAGTTGCCCATTTTTTGATTGGTTCTTTTATTTCAAGAGGTCTGATTTTTTGAGTTCTTTGTATATTCTGGATATTAGTCCTCTGTCAAAAGAGTAGCTATCAGGGGCTGGTGAGATGGCTCAGTGGTCTAAAGCACCTACTTAGAACAAGCTAAGCAAAGCACAGGGACCACGGTTCAATCCCCCAGCACCACATGCCAGCCAGGGCCGCCCCCTGGTGGGCTGAGCTGGCCACACACACACACACACACACACACACACACACACACATAAATAAATAAATAAATAATTAAAAAAAAAAACTTAAAAAAAAAAAAACAAAAGAGTAGCTATCAAAGATTTTTTTCCTTTCTGTGGGTTGTCTCACTGTGTTGATTGTTTCTTTTACTGTGCAGAAGCTTTTTGATTGGTATAATATTATTTGTTGATTCTTTATATTATTCCTTATGCAAGTAGGGATTCTGTTTATTTTTTAAATTTTTTTATTAATTTTATTGAGAAAGAAGTAGTGAGATAATTTCAAAACAGGTTAGTAGGACAGTTATAATAATACATTACATATTGTTGTCTTTGTAGGGATTCTGTTTACAAAGTTCTTTTTTGTGCCTATTTTATCTGTTTATTAACTCCTAGGAAATTGTTTCTCTTTTAATATTCATGTCTTCAATACATTTTTATTTTATTTTGGTACATGGTGATGGGGTCTAGAGTCAGGCTTCTGTGTGTATGTATTCAGTTTTCCCACCAACATTTGTTAAAGAGGCTATCATTCCTCTAGTATACATTTTTTGCCCCTTTGTGAAAGATCAGATGATGTAATGTGCCTTGGGGTTGTTTCTTCATCTTCTTGTGTGTTCCATTCACTCACACGCTTTTTTTTGTGTAGGCACCATGCTGTTTTTATTAGTGTAGCTTTCTAACGTAACTTGAAATCTGGGATTGTGATGCTGCTTCACTTTATCAGAGTCATGATATATATGCACATTTTAAAATATCTAATTTTTTTTCTGTGAAGAAAGGAATTTAACTTTGTATAATTCAGTATGTCTAAAACTTTATAAGTATATCCACAAAACTCAGTTTTTTGTTAATGCCAGTTAATAACTGTGATGGATTGCCTACTGGTGGTCAACTTGTTACATTCAGCTGAACAGAACTAGTATGATGCTGGGTGTGGGAGGCCCACCAGAGGATTATTTCCAGCAGCATAAGAAGCAGAACTAGAGACACTGTTGAGAGGGTGTTGGGAGCTTGTAGAAGCTTCTGGGAAACTTTTAGGGAGCTGGTGATTTTTGTGGGCTGTTTTGTTGGAAGATTTTGTTGTGTTGTCTTACCTGATGAATTTCACTGTTATTGTCAGGGGAAGAGCTTGGGACCTCGTTGAGAATGGCTGTAGTTCATTTTGAGCTCTGGTCCTCATTTTGAGCATTGCTTCAGCTCAGGGGAGGGGAAGATGGTACACTGCCCAGTTACCTGGAGAAGCTCGTTGTGTTGGTTTTCCTAATAGGAGCTTGGCTGTTCTCATTCTTGGAGGAGTTTGGAACCTCACTATTACTGAGGATGACTGGTGTACTTTTCAGGGACACTCCGGTTCTTACCTTGGGCATTGCTTCCTGGCTCCAGTTCAGATCCCTCAGCCTGCTAGCCAGATGCTTCATCCCACTGGCACAGATGTTCTAGCTTCCACCCCTAACCTAAGGCTTTCCTAGTGCATATCTATGAAACAGGCCTACATGAGGGTTCTAGGCCTCCAGGAGGACTTGTAGGAGGTATTGTTAATGGGCTTTAGATCTTTAGCTGGACTCACACAAGACATTATTGTGGGATCCAGGCTCTTAGTTGGATTCTTTTGGCCTTTAGTGTATGGATAGATTTCCTGCCCTCTCTCTGTATGTGGTTCTTCTGATGACTGCTATAAATGATCTTATAAAATCTGTCCTGTATTGTATTATCCCCCTTGCAAAACTCCGAACTATAATAGTAGCCCACTAAATTAGTGATTTACAGAGATTTAGATAGATCATATTTATTACTTACCCAAAATATGTTTTATTTTCAGCCCTTCCAAGTTAACTCTGCTGGGGTCAATTATGTTCACGTTCCAGCACACTGAGCATCTAGCAGTATCGAAGCATAATCTCATGTTCTTTTATACTGTCTTTCTTGTGACCACAAAGGTAAGAATTCCAAGTATCTATAAGTTAGTATTACAAATGCTATATGATCTTTCTCCTTTGAGAGAATCTTTGTTATTGAGCCAGTAACAAGAATGTTCATTTTGTATTATTATTATTATTATTATTATTGTTGTTGTTGTTGTTATTGTTATTGTTATTTTGTATCAGGAATCAAACTCAGGATCTCACACTTGTCAGGCAGGCACTGTGCCACTAAGATATATCCCTGCCTCTATCTATAGGACTCTTAAAAGGAAGACGGTATGTAAATTTGTATCTTTAGAATGAAGTAACTATAGACACTATTTGTATTTCTGTAGTCTTTGCTGTAGGGCTAGTTTGTGTCAGGCAAGACCCTGAGGAGTGACCAAAACCACTAGAACAGGCAGGGTTGAAGCAAACAGTGATATCTTTATTTCCAACTGGGTGCAGCTGGGAAAAGGGTGAAAAGACTAGTGGTGCTGAATAGAGGAATATGGTATGCTTTATAGGGAAGTTTAAGTAAGGGAAGGGGTACCACTGGGGGAGATGGAAAACGTTTGTCAGGGACTGCTGGTGGTTGTTTCCCCCAAAGTATAACAAACATGGATAACACATATATAAAAATAGTGAATTCTGTAAGAGAAATAGAAAATAAATGTCTCTCAGCAATGTTCAATTTCTGATAACTTGTCATCTGAATTCAGTAGAAGCAACTCAGTGGAAAGCCTTAGGTAGTTTCTGTTTTCATATGTGCACCTATCGTAGTTCCCTTTCTGTTGCTGAGACAAAATACCACTCACTGTTAAAGAAGGAAAGGTTTATTTAGCTGACAGTTTGTAGAGGTTTCAGTTCTTGGCTGTCTGGCTCCAAGGCAGGAGCCTTGGAGAGGAGAAATAGTTCACAGGGGGTAGAAGGCAGCAAAGTAGTGAAGTAGCCAGCAGCAATGAATAGTATCAGCCTACTTTATGTCCCTTATATCCTATCCAAACTACCCATACGTAGGGTGCGATAGCATTGCACCATTAATCCCAACATCACCTCCTTAATCCCATCATCACACACCCTAGAAACAGTCACCTCTGAAAGCCCCACCAGTGACTGTATGAAGCTTTGGGGGGCTGTCTAGATATAAGCCATAGCATTCTATCCCTGATCCCTGAAAAAGTCATGCACATCCCTTTATGCTAAAAGGCATTTAGTCCATTTCTAAAAGTTGCCAAAGCCCTAACAATTTCAGCATTGCTGAAAATCCCAAGCCCCAAGTTCTCTTAGATTTAAATTCCTAGATTCAAGCCCCTGTACAAATGAAAAGTAAGTGAAATATGTCCAACATACAATAGCGTATGTAAACATTGTACACACCTTTCTAAAAGATACAAACAGGAGAATAGAAAGGAACAGAATCAAAATAAGTCTAATATCCAGCAGCACAAACTTAAGTCCTATTGTTCAATGCTTTGTATTGTGTGTAATCTGTGAACCCCAAACAGCTTAGGTGGCTCCACCCTTATGGCACTGTGGGTGGATGCAGATGATCCATATTCCTGGCTTCTCCAAAATCCTTGGGTCTCTACCCCACCTTTGGCTTCACATTCATAGCTTCACACCCTGCCTTTCCAGGAGCGCACTGCTTGGCCTCCCAGGCCATCTTCTGAAATCTGGGTGGGAACCTCTCTGACCCCACAACTCTTACATCTAAATCCAGCAGTGTATGGATGCCAGGCTCTACTGCCAGCCAGCCTAGTAGCCAGGCTTCCTTCCCTCTCAGCATTAGGGACCGAGTGTCTGGATTACTGAGCATTCTGAACCAAATCCTGAGGGACAGGTTTTCTAGGCTGTTGCTATTCTGGAGCATCATGTACTGGGGCTCATTTCTCAAAGCACATTTTTTTTATTTTTAATCTTTGCAATATTGAGGATGCAAAGGCTGGAGTATTGCTTTTTTTTGTGATGTCCTTAGGTCATCTTTTCTGTTGTCCTGTTTCTTCTGAGCTACCAAGTTCTTTGCTCTATCTTTGCAGTCCACAGCTTTACTGGAGCTTCCTTTCTGGCACAACTCACACTTTAAGTCATTTTGCTGGGCTCTTTGCTCTTGATTATCAACATAAATCTGGCTAAAATCCTCCAACAGTAGGCATTCCACTGCTTCAACATTAGACTGTTTTGAAATTTCTTCTGCAAGATTCATTAGTTCAGTGCCCTTAATCTTAGTCTCAGGCAGTCTCTGGACATGAGCAAAATGTAATAAGGCATAACACATACTGCCTGAAGTCCAACAGGCAGTACAAGCGTTTTTTGCAACAAAAACCTCTCCAGCCTGGTCTTATTTCTGTCAGCATTCTGCTCTTCTGATCTCTGACCAGAATCTCCCATCAAGTGCAGCTTAAGCATTCCAGGGCTGGTTCTTCAGCCCACATCTCCAAACTCTTCTAGACTCTTCCCACAAGCTAGTTCCAAAGGTTCTTGAACTTTGTAATTGGATGTAGTAACAGCAACAGCTCTACCTGTATAGTACCAAATTCTATCTTAAATTGCTTTTTCTTATTCTGAGATAAAATACCTGACACCCAAAGTTAAAGGAGGAAAGGATTGATCTATCTATCTATCTATCTATCTATCTATCTATCTATCTATCTATCTATCCATCCATCCATCTATCAGTGTGGACTCGTAGTGATCCTCCTATCTCAGCCTCCCCAGCGCTGGAATTACAGGCATATGCCACCATGCCTGGTCTCAGTGGCTCACTCAGCATGCACAGGGGTGGAGCTGGCACAGCATGCAGTGCCAGGAATTGAACTCTGGTCCCTGCACTTGTCTAAACAAGGCTCTTGGTTCACTGAGCTATCTCACCAGCCTTATTTTGGTTTACAGTTTGTAGAGGTTTCAGTTCATAGTTGGCTGGCTTCAAGGCAGGGTGGCATAGCAGAGGGCATCACTGAGGAGAAATAGGTCATGGTGGGCAGAAGGCAGCAAAGTAATAAAGTAGCAGGCAGTGAGCAATGGCAGCATTCCTCTTTCTGTCTCTTCTATCCCGGCCACCCACTCTTAGGGTAAGTAGCACTCACACCTAAGATAGGCACCCTTAATCCCAGAATAACACCATCTATCCCAGCACACATTTAGATCCACCCACTTCTGAAAAGCCCTACAGGGGACTACATTAGACTTTGGGGGAACATCTAGACACAAGTCATAAGTCAAAGAATTACAGCCCTATATTCCATATTGATATCTGAAAGGCTGTATCCCAGAACCTCTGACCCTGTCCTGTTGATTCTGGAAGGAATCTTTCTCAATCACTTTAAAAAGTATTTTAAGTGGGGCCAGGGAGATGGCTCAGTGGAATAAGCGCTTCCCTGGCAAGCATAAGGGCTTGAGTTCAATCCCCAGTTCTGCAAAAAAAAAAAAAAAAAAAAAAAAAGAGTATTTAAAGAAAGTAGCATTTAATATTTATTTACAAAATACTTACAGATGAGTTTCTTTTTTAAAAAATTCATTTTGTTGGAGTATACTTCATATGTAATGAAAGGCTGTTCAACCTACAAGTACATTTTTAATGAATTTTGACCTATTTGTGTATCCACAAATTTATATCCATCTATGTATCCACTACTGTAGTGAAGATATGGAATATTTGTATCACTTCAGAGAACTATACAAACTGTAAGCCAAAATAGGGCTGGTGAGCCAAAGAGGAGGTGTCCAAAGAGCAAATATAGTCCTAAAGGTCACCAACCCCCAACTTGCTTTCTCCAATAATACCCCACCTCCTAATAGCCTGCTTAGTTATGAACTTATCAGTGGGCTAACTCATTGATGATGTTAGTGCCTTTACAATCCAGTCACCTCTTTAGGAGTCCTTTAATCCTGTCAGGTTGTCTATGAAGATGATTTTTTGTTTTTCTTTTCAATTTTTTCCTAGTTATTTTTTGGTTTGTATTTTTTTGTTTGTTTTTAGATAGGATCTCACTGTGTAGTTCAGGCTACCTATGAACTCATTTTGTAGCCCACTATCGAACTTTCGATCCTGCCTCCTAAGCCTCCCAAGTGCTGGGATTACAAGAGTGAGCCACATGGCTAGTTATTCTTGTAGGTTGATGTAAACTTTAATAGTAATTTAGATCTATTAAAGAATTTGATATTTTTATTAAAATTGTTGTAAATTAACTTGAGGCAGTTAGATTGATTACATAGGGAAAAAAGCAGGAGTGAGGTCAGAGCTGTGAAGTTCTGTAATATATAGTGAAGGTAGTTTTAGAATAGGAAATCAAGTATGAGTTGTAGATGATGAGGAAAACCAAGAGATGGTTTTAAGAAGGATGGTTGAGGTAGTTGTGCTGAATGCTGTTAAGAGGTATAAGAGGGTAGTGAATTTTCAAAATGTGAATGAAGGATGCTATTCTTAGGCTCTTTTGGGGATATGGATGGTCATATAGACATTGAAGAAGACTTAAGCCTTATTTTCAAGATTTTATTATTAAAAATAAATATAAGACATATACACTGTGTTTTTAAACTTTATGAGGATTGGGACTAAGTTTGCTTTATTTGTTTCTGTATTTCTAACAGTGTCTGGAACATGCAGTTAATTTTTGATAGTGTTTGTTGGCTGATTTGTTGATAAATTACCAAGATGGTCTTTCATAAGTTTCTCTAATGTAGTTCTTCCACATTTATTTGTCTGAGGAACTATATCAGAAGTGAGTAATTTATTTACCCAGTTTTTTGAAAGACATTTGTAGAGATGTGAGTTCCAAGATTTTAATTTATGTGAGACATTCAAGTTAATAATTACTTTTATTTTTTTCCCATAATTTTATTGATAAACAAACAGCAATGAGATAGTTTCAAATCAAATTGGTTCGGACAGTTTCAATAATTAACACATTGCGTATATTCCTAGTGGTTAATTGCTGTATAAGACATGGACATGATATCCTATTTACAAACACCATTAGAACAAATCGCTGTATTCATTAAGAGAATGTAACTATATATCTATCCTAACCACTTTG